GTTTTTGGACTTACTGTTTATTCTCCACCTGTGCAAAAACTGCCGGCCCTTGTGTCAGACTTGGTAAATCTCATCATGCCATCAACTTCAAAAGTAGATCTTTGTTTAAAAAAGGTGGGCACCCCTGTTGTAGATGGATTTCCTCACAGAGAAGAGGATTTATCATTGTTTCTTTTTAGAGGTCTGATTCTTACTTTTACTTACTTTTTTTCTTCCTTTTAGAAATTAGTCTATGCATAATAAATAGGTGCCTGCATTTAAATAGGTTTTATTTAGGAGTCCAAATCTGCACAGCCTCCAAGGCTAGTGTTAGTAAGATTTCTTCTCTGTTTTTCAAATTAAAATCACATTTTTATTATTTTACTTTTAATGCTTTAATTTCTTCTACATCTCATTAATGCTTTACTTGGTGTAAACCACTTCAAATTGTGGACAATAAATATACTAAACAAATAAAGCTGCCTTGCTAACTTCCTAAAATGTTTTTCTTGTGTTTAAATAGTACCTGCGAGTGAAATTTTTTTTCCAGACGTCAATAATAGGGTAAACCACCCCTTTACAGGCCCTAATCCACCTACAAGATCAGGATTACTTGATATGCAGGATGACCTTGACAAACTTTGTGTGCACAACCTGGCCTGTCAAATGAGTCAGATAGGACTTTGCAGAGTTTTGCAGTCCTGGAATATCCATAGGATACCAGGTAAGTTGTGGTAATATTTAAACACTGTAAAAATAATTAGGGTGGTTAAACTTAAAAACTTGAGTTAAGCAGCTGCCTTAAAAGCACAAGTTAACACAACTTGAAATAATGTTTTTTTCCAACTTAGGATGGCAAGCTAGAAAAGTAGCTCAATTGCTGATAATTCATTGATTAAATATGATACCATAAGTTGAAATGACTAACTATAGAACATTATTCATTCTTTATAAATTGAGTACTCTTGTCAAGTAAAATTACAATCATATTCTATTTGAACTCAAATAATTAAGTTATACCACTTGTCTAACTAATGACTACTAGTTGTATGAACTTCATACTCCAAGTTTAAAGGCCTTGCAAAGTTAAGTTATCCATTTAAAAAAACTTGTTTTATTTTGTTGAAGTAGCAAACAATTATATATACTTTCAACTTTCAACTTTAAGAGCAGCCTTTAATGCTATCTTAGACACTATTGGCTTTGTTCAAAATGTGAATAGTCCCACGCATTCTCATCTTCATACTTTGGATCTTGTGCTGACATACGGCATAGAATGTGAAGAAATAACAGTATTTCCTCACAACCCTGTCCTCTCTGACCACTTTCTAATAACCTTCAGGATTACTTTAACAGAGTTCTCCTCCCCCAAAAGAAGGTTCAATTTTAGTAGATCTTTATCAGATAGTGCAGTTATAAATTTTAAAGAATCTGCTTCACTTTCTCTCTCCTCTGTGTCGCTGAGCAGTGCTGCAGAGTGCAAAAGCTTAGCTTATTCCCCTTCACAGGTTGATGATTTTGTTGATGGGGTTGCTAGTTCTCTGCGTATTGCCTTAGACAACGCAGCTCCTTTGAAAATGAAAACCGTTAAAAATAGAAAGCTTGCTCCTTGGTTTAATGCAGAGCTGCGTACTTTGAAGCAAAATGCTAGGAAACTGGAGAGAAAATATCGCTCCACAGGCCTGCGAGAGTCCTTCCTAGTCTGGAAAAATGGTTTACTGCTGTATAAGAGGACTCTTTGTAAAGCAAGAGCAGCATACTTCTCCTCATTAATAGAGGAGAATAAGAATAATCCTAGATTTCTTTTTAATACAGTTGCCAAACTCACCCAGAGCCATAGCTCTGTTGAACCGTCCATTCCACCTGCTCTTAGCAGCAATGATTTTATGGGATTCTTTATAAATAAGATTGATCTTATTAAAAATAAGATCATAAGCACTCCTCTATCCGCGATTGTACCTGAGGTAGTCATGGAATCTGAACCAGGTTTAGACTGCTTTGATCCAGTTGAACTCTCTGAATTAGCAAAATTATTGTCTTCATCTAGGCCTTCAACTTGTATGTTAGATCCAGTTCCAACCAGGTTATTTAAGGAGGTGTTCCCTTTGATCTCCTCCTCCATTTTAGATGTGATTAATCTATCTCTGTTACAGGGATATGTACCTAAAGCTTTTAAGGTTGCTTTAATTAAACCTTTGCTTGAGAAACTGTCTCTTGACCCAGATGACTTGGTCAATTATAGTCCTATATCCAATCTTCCTTTCTTATCTAAAATTCTTGAGAAAGTAGTTGCCAAACAAGTTTGCGATCACTTCCACCGTAATGAACTTTTTGAAGAGTTTCAGTCTGGCTTTAGAGCTCATCATAGCACTGAAACAGCTCTGGTGAAAGTCACTAATGATATTCTCATGGCCTCAGATAATGGACTTGTATCTGTGCTCGTCCTGTTGGATCTTAGTGCTGCATTTGATACAGTTGACCATAATATTCTTTTAGAAAGACTTGAATATTTTGTTGGAATTAAAGGAACAGCACTAGACTGGTTTAAATCTTATCTATCTGATCGAATTCAGTTTGTTCATGTTAATGATAGATCTTCGACACGCTCAAAGGTTACCTGTGGAGTACCACAGGGATCAGTGCTAGGACCAATTCTCTTTACTTTATACATGCTCCCAATTGGTAGAATTATTAGACAGCATGGGATTAATTTCCACTGTTATGCTGATGATACCCAGCTATATCTGTCTATAAATCCAGATGAAGCTAACCCATTACATAGATTACAGGCATGTCTTGAAGACATAAAAACCTGGATGACTCTTAACTTTCTGCTTCTGAATGCAGACAAAACAGAAGTTATAGTCTTTGGACCAGAGTCTCTGAAAAAGAAACTGATTAGCCAGTCACTTCATTTGGATGGGATTAAACTGATTTCAGATAATAAAGTAAAAAATCTTGGTGTTATTTTTGATCAGGACCTGTCATTTAAATCCCATATCAAAGAGGTTTCTAGAATTTCCTTCTTTCATCTGAGGAACATTGCAAAAATTAGAAATATCCTGTCCAGGGGTGATGCTGAGAAACTAGTCCATGCATTTGTTACTTCAAGGCTGGACTGTTGTAATTCTTTACTATCAGGAAGTCCACAAACTGTAGTTAAAAGCCTTCAGCTGATCCAAAATGCTGCAGCCAGAGTTCTAATGAAAATTAAAAAGAGAGATCATATCTCGCCTATCCTGGCTTCTCTTCATTGGCTTCCTGTTAAATCAAGAATAGAATTTAAAATCCTCCTTCTCACATATAAAGCCTTAAATGGCCAAGCTCCATCTTATATCAGAGATCTGATTGTTCCTTATGTTCCTAACAGAGCACTTCGCTCTCAATCTGCAGGTTTACTAGTGGTTCCTAGAATTTCTAAAAGTAGAATGGGAGCCAGATCTTTTAGTTATCAGGCTCCTCTCCTGTGGAACCAACTACCAGTTTTAGTCCGTGAGGCAGACACCCTGTCTACTTTTAAGGCTAGGCTTAAAACTTTCCTTTTTGATAAAGCTTATAGTTAGGGTGGCTCAGGTTATCCTGAGCTATCTCTATAGTTATGCTGCTATAGGCTTAGACTTTTGGAGGACATAGGGACCCCCATTTCATCATTCTGCTTCATTCTCTCTCTGTTCTCCTATTCTGCAGAATCTGTTAGTTCAATCTCTAACCTTCTGCTCTCTCTGCTTTTCCTCAGAGTAGCTTTGCCTCGTCTGTTCCTGCTTGGCTGTGACGTCATCCTGGAAAGAAACATCAGCTGTGCTGCTTCTATCAACACCCTTGTTTATAGATGTTGGAGATCGGCCTGTTTTCCAGTGTGGTCCTGTTTCTCTGACCGTGACTGAGTGGATGTGCTCTCTTCGTCCTCTGGCATGGGAGCTGCCTTGGAGCTCGTCTGCCTGGCTGTGTGTTTCCTGGACGGGGCCGCCTTTTACAGCTGCTTTTTGTATCTCTGCTTCTGTCTCCTTGAACCCCAGTCGGCCTCGGCAGATGGCCGCTCACACTGAGCCTGGTTCTGCTGGAGGTTTCTTCCTGTTAAAAGGGAGTTTTTCCTCTCCACTGTCGCTACAAGCATGCTTAGTGTGGGGGATTGTATTTGAGTCAATGAGTCAATGCAATCAACTGGTTTTCCTTAGATAGAAAACTTTGTATCAATTTGACTGTATGATCTGGTTGAACTGTAAAGTGCCTTGAGATGACATGTGTTGTGAATTTGGCGCTATATAAATAAACTGAATTGAATTGAATTGAACTCTCATTTTAAAGTTAAACTGACTAACTGTATTCATACCAATTCCCTTTTTGAGTTAATTTAACTCAAGAGTTTAAGGCAGCTACTGAACTTCAAATTGCAATTTAAGTAAACTAACATTTCCAAATATTGCTCACTTTCTCCACTAACAATGCCAAGTTTACCAGTTTTCTAAAAATAATTACACCAATACGCTTCCATTTCAGATTATACATTTTTCTTTCTCTATCAAATATGAGACAAGCCTTAAATCAAGTGTAAAAAGAAAACATTTGTTCGAGACAAGCAGAAGTTTTAACATTTATTGAAGGACAAAAGCAGAAATACATTTTTTGACAAACAGAAATATTTTTTTATATAAATCTCAATAAATGCACTTAAAGGCACCAATTATGAACTCTACCTAAAGTTTTATTGTAAAAAATTTGTGAGGTATGGTGCATTTTAAGTGCATTTTATTGGCGAGTTTCAGTCCTCCATATAGACCATTATTTTACAAAACATTTTAACCACGTTGAACAGTAGCAGTCCAAGGTCAATACAACTAGCTACCATCTCTCAAAAACAGTCCAAAAAGTGCAAAATGATCAGTGTTTTAACAAAAATCCTGAGAGGTTTTTCCATAGATTCAGCACAATGCTAAATGTTTTAGTGCATAACCATTAGTATTAACATTTAGTGCATAGAACAAACTGAACAAATTCTTACAGGAACTCTTATTTGAGAAAACAAAACTGTAAACATACCAGATGTTACAGTTTGTACCTCAGGAGTTTGTTTCTCAAACCATGTACTCGAGCTGAGGCCTGGTCTGGACTGATCTTCATCACCACTCTCTGAAGAAACTCGAACGAATACTTCATGTCATTTGGATACTTGAGATTGATACAGTAGATGACACCCATAAGCATAGCAAAGCCAACTGTCACATCTTTAATATTGTGAAGCACAATGGTCTCCTCCACCACAACTGCCACGTCGAAGACCTCGTGTGGGATGGCCCCCTGTTCACTACCTTCACAGGCAATCAGAAGACCGACCTGCATCCCCTTCATGGCATCATCCAGAATATCAGCATGAGCCTTAAAAATAGAAAAGAAATAATGACATTTGTGTGTAAGTAAAGAATGTAAATACTCAGTTATTTTTAAACTGCAAGTTTTTATGCTATTGTGAGGTTTAACAATCTGCATGTTTTGACACTTGTGGGTTTTATGATGCACTTCTGTTCAGTCAGAGAATAACCTGACACACTCCCAGTTTGACAAAGCATAGAGCATAATGGCAATGAAACAGGCCACTGTTGTGGATGAGGCAAACATCCAGAAGAATTAGACATTGAAAATAAGTCCAACCTGAAAAAAAAGCCTGTTTATGTGTACATATTCAACATATTTTCAGCACTTTACTTTGTCATCAGGTAGTCCTCCTTTTTGACAAACTTTTTTCATCCACAGAACTTGTATTTTCATGCACATGAGCACAGTGTATGGCAGATTAAAAACCCCCATTGTGAAGCGCTGAAATTATTCTAAAAATGTAGGACACTAGAAATGTTTCCATTCTAATGTATTTTTTTTAATCATCAAATTCTTAAAATGTCAAAAGAAATTAAAGAAAATGCAAATCAGGCATGTTTCCATCAAGTGGCTTTGAGCAAAATCAATCATGATAGACAAAGTAATTACATCAGAATTTGATGTTATGCATGGCTGTAGTAAACAGGAAGTAATGTCTCTTAAGGACTAAAAATACGTTTTTGCAAACACAAATGCTACAAAAAGACTTTTAAGAAATGATATCAAGAAAGAGGAATAATTAAATATGTAAACAGTTTTTGTAATAACATTTGTTAGTCTTACATCACACATCCTGATGACGGTTGATGGATCTTCCCCAGATATGTAGCGTGGCAAACCAAGCAGAGCAGCAGCCCTTCTCCTTTCATTTGTGTCCTGTAAGAGATAAGACATGCAGTAAGATGAATATATTTAAAAAAAAATAACAAATTATGCCTAGTTTTCTAGCCATCTTCAGTTCTGCTCACATCTTTTGCAAGGCAGTCCAAAATGTCTTTGAGTGGCTGCTTCTTCCCAGATTTGGTTGCTGTTTGTAGACCTCCAGCAGTCTCAGAACCAGGCCATCAAGTCCGTCAACAAAAGATTTCAGAAGGTCTGTGGTGATGATTCTTGTAAATTCTGCCCTAATCTGAGGTGATAGAATATAAAACTCATCAGGACACAGTTAACTCAGTATTAAATCACTAAATCTCTTGGTGAAACTAATTCAGATGTGCGATTACCTGTCTCTCATGGAACAGAGCAGGCCATCGGGACATGAGCTCTGTGATGTGTGGTTGATCTCCTACAATGTCTTTCCTACGCTGAGAAAATGTAGAAACCATCAAATCCTCAATCAGCTGATGATTTGGGTCTTTCTTCTGCATTTCAGCCTCCATTATCTTGCGCTTCACCTCCATGTTTTCAGGACTTTGTCCTTCAGGTGGATCAGGACAGTAGTTCACCTCCCCCTTCTTTGACTTTTTGACAGTTTCCCCTTTTGAACTTCCAGATTTTCGTTTGTTTATGACCACCTCAGGGCATCCTGCTGAGCTTAATTTATGCCTGTAGTTTCCCATTTTGAATTTCAGACTGTGAAACCATGAGTACCATCCCTTTTCTGACCCTGGGTCTCGCAGACAGGGATGCCTTTCCACCAGTGTTTTGGCCACATTTTCATAGTGTTGCCTGTCAGGATAAGCAGTAATCTTTGACATACAGTCTGCAAGTGTGTCAAGGATATTAGTCTTTAAAGTTTTAGAAATCACCATCACAGATCCATCCTTAGCATATCTACAATTAGCTTCTTTCAGTTGCAGCTCCACATCATGGGAAAACTTTGGAATCGGGAAGGAGTCAGGCCATTTAACAAAATCTGCACAACTTGGAGAAGAGAGGCTTCCAGTGTCCAGTGTAGAATCCGTGGAGTCATCAGCTGTGAACAATACTTTCAAAGTTGCACGGTCAACAGGAAGGTCTTTGATGTCCGTTAGGTTGCACAACTGATTATTGAAATCAGGATCCTCAAACTGCAAAATGAATCCTCCTCTTAGGGCAAGGTTGGTTCGTAACACCTGGTACAGTTCCTCAACACTTGAGGGGATGTCTTCAATTGAAAGACGCCTGATTTCACTTTCTGAAACTATGACACGCAGCAGCATTGTAGACAACTTAGACCTGAAAAATAGAAAAATTTGCACGTTAAGAATAAGAGCCTCTGGTACAGTGACAAGACACTACATTCATGAGGAGACGAGACAAAATATTGGATTAATGACAACACAAGGTTTTACAATTTAAAGGAATCATCACTGACTAAATGGGGGCTGCACTTTGACAGTAAAAAAAAAATGTTTACTTTATCAATTAACTTAACTTGTTACTCAATATAACAATAAGCTTAAAATAAATCTATGAAAAAACAAAACAAAAAAGTATTTTAACATTTAAGATAATCAGTAACAGCATTGTGGGGCAAGGCAAATCTTTGAAATTCAAAGATCTGATTGTAGTAAACAAAAATCTTACAGCACTATCATACTGTTTTATGAGTGTTTTATGCCTAAATTACTACTAAAAGTTATTTATTTGATAAATTTGTTAACATTACAGTATATACCCACCTAAGAGAGATATCTTTTTAGATTCCATCATCAACATAGATATCTTTAAACTTTTCATAAGTTGTCTAAAACGGTGTGGAAGTGCCTCTTACTCAACCAATTTGTATTATATTGGCTATGATTAACAGATAAGGGCTGACCAGCCATTTTTTAAACCAAGAGCAAGAGAGTAAATGTATATGGGTAAGTATATGACATTTCACTGTTGCCAATCTTCTGCTTAGAATCAGAGACTGATGAAGTGATTCAACACAATCTGCTGTCTTCATTAGTTTTTTGTAAAGTGCTTTGAGACAAAGTTTGTTGAGACTTGGTGCTATATAAACCAAACTGAAGTGAATTACTGACATCAAAACATCTCAAGAACAAATCCTGCGGATTATTTCAGGCAGCTGAAATAATCTGTTCCCCCCCTTTAATTTTTGCAAATAACCAGTAAATATGACCAAATCCACAGGATTTGTTCTTGGTGGTGAGAGGAATAAGCACAGTTAAAGACTTGCAGGTAAATTAATTTCTTCCCCTGTTATGGAGGGGGAACAGATTATTTCAGGCAGCTGAAATATATGGTTCCCCCCCCCCTTTAATTTTTGCAAATAACCAGTAAATATGACCAAATCCACAGGATTTGTTCTTGGTGGTGAGGGGAATAAGCACAGTTAAAGACTTGCAGGTAAATCAATTTCTTCCCCTGTTATGGAGGGGGAACAGAATATTTCAGTAAGCTGAAACATCCATTCTCTCCTCTCCTCCTCCCATATCTTTGGGAAATAAAGAGCAACTGTTTCCAATTTCTCTAAAATTGATATGTGTGATGTGGTATACTATAAATGTCCTTAATCCAGTAATCTGTCATATTTTACATTAGAAGGTGATTAACCAGAAATTCTTCTCTCATCTTCACAGGACGTCTTAATTTGTGTGCCCTGCTATCAGCCAGTTTCCATCCTCTTATATCAGCAATGAATAATTAAAAATACACTACGTGTTGTTGTGTTCGGTGACTGACGTTTATTTCTGTCAGGCTGAAGGGACAAAAGTTGGAGAAATACCGATTCTCTTGGCGTTTAAAAAACAACACAAAACAGCGTAAGAGGACCTCATTAATGTAATTATTTTACATTTTTTTTAAAAAGAGCAACCGATTAAAATGGATGATACAAAGTTGAGATGATTATATGAGCTGTTTTTACCGAAAAATAATCAGGAGCGCCTTGAGAATGCCCGCCAACACATTAAACAAAGGACACGGCTTACTGACAAGAAACACGACTAAATACAGACGCACAGCCTTTCCCAAAGCCGCTAACCTGCAGTCAGCACGTCAATACAAAACTTTGACCAAGCGCCACATATGTGTTTCTGAGGAAGTGTACAATACCAAAATCGTGGTAGCTGCTTGCATTTTCTCTTAAGAAAAGTTCATAAGCACAACCGAGTAGCATACTGCGTTTAGCTAGGCTCAACTGCATTAACTAACTCCTGCCCTCGACAATTAGCAAGCTGTTGTTTTATGTACTGTGTTTAAACATGTAACAGAGAACCTTTAGCTCTTAACATATTTTAAAAATGGGTGGCATTATCAAAAAAAAAAGACAAATGAATCTTACCTTATTTCTATGACTCCAGCTCGCTTCGTATTTCCAAAAAATGTCCCGCAGAATTTGAACACCTTTTGTACTGAGGTCTTTGAAAAATGGTATTCATCCGCGACTTCGCTTTCGACGTCCTTAATGTGGTCAGGTGGTGTTCCTCTTCTTCATTTAATATGGAGTTCTAACTGGGATGGATAACTTTATAAAGTCTGACAAAATCTTACATCATATTTAGTCCCTTATCAGATAAAGAGCGAATTTCCGGCACTATTTGGATCTCGCATTAATATTTCCAGCGGTGATCAGTTTTTATAAGATCCGGTTACCTTTTTTCAAACTCAGATTGTCAAGTTATGTTCAGACATTTAAATTTATGTTTCACTGAACTGACTCACATCCTCGAGTTGAAATGCCAGTAACTCAGAAAATTAAGTTGAAATTACAAAACTCATTATGTTAATTGGAAGTAATTTATAGAAAAACGTTATGATAACTAATTGAGAGTATGACTTTTAACAGTGTATGTATATAGTTTGAACTGACAGTTTTGTTCAAGAATGAAAAAAAATATTTAAAAAAATGCTCCCAAATCAACTTGCAGTTGCAAGATAACCAGCAAGAATTCCAGCAGAGGTGTTGCCCAATGCTGCTAAAGTACCATGGATGTTGGGTTCTTCCCTGACTTGGGTATCTGCTTTTGGCTCTTACCCATTTTCAACAGAGGAAGACCAATACCTTTCTGAGCAGCTATTTGGAGAGAGGTTTCCAAACATGCCTCTTCTTTATAGAGAAGTTGTTTACAATGACTACAGCGTGTGTCAGGAGGCACTGTTCTACTTGATACGTGTTACTGAAAGACATGTTAGATAAATGTAATTGCTGAATGATACTAATGAATGGTAAAAACTGCATATTTTACTATCAAAAATACAAGTCTAACAATTATTAAACCGCATTTACTTGTAGTAACTGCTCTGAATTTCCACAAGAACTGATAAGTATTTAAAAGTATCAGGTAAAAACTTTTACTGAATGCCTTTTTCAATTTTAATGTGGAAGTACTGAAGTTCTTTATGCTTAAACATTAGATGCTAAATCACAACACTCAGTATTTCATAATTTATAAAACAACAAAAACATTAACAATGGACACTATGAAAAGAAATTTGGTTGTCACTCTAACAGACAAACATTGTGGCAGCAACAACTTCTCAGGTGCAGGCAGTGCCTCAGAGAATCCAACTCATGGATGTTGCCCTCCAAGTCTACAGCACAACACTTTGGACAGTGGCTGTTGTTCTACTCCACAATGCATGCCTTGCACCCAACCAGGCTTCTGCAGTAGGTTGCAAACATGGGTTTATCTACTGGACCCGTAGATTGAAAGAATGATAAAGAAGATGTAAGCACAGCAATGCCAGATGATGCATATGCAGGGGATTGCCCTCAAGCAGAATACTTCTGCAGATAATGTACCACAAAGGTCATGACAGAAAGGACAACATATCTTTTAGCAAGAAAACATTTCTTTCATCGCCTCACAAAAGTTTTTGTCATGGTGCTACTTGAACTTCTGGCTGTGCTGGTAAGGCATCATATCACCGTCCGATCAGAAAGATATAGCCACGTTGTTGTCATCTGTCAAATAGCAGTTTCTGCAGATTACAGGAGGGAGGCACAGAAATGTGTGTGTGTGTTGCTCCTCCAAGGCTCAGCTCAGAGGGCATAAGTGAATTAAGAATAAAGACAACGCACGTATTGAGCTCATCATAGCTTTCCAACAAGAGGGTTTATTCTTCTCCAGATATCAACCTATAAAAATGTTTGACACTTAATAATCTTCAAAATGTCCATATTGACTAGTTATGTGACCTTGGAATCAAAACATCATGGCAACAACCTCTTCAAGCTAATCTAGTCAATACATCCAAAAATAAACCAAAACAAAATACAAATTGTCAATCATACATCATGTTTACCATGCATCACATTGTTTCCACTATATTTTAGCTTTTTCTTAAACACATTTTAGCAACAAATAAAGTACAGTATCTATGATGTTCTTTTTTCAACATATATTCCAGTTTTTATATCAAAACACATTTACATTTTTAATATCATGAACTTGTTTGAATCACTAAAACTTTTTAATTGTTTGAATGGCACCTAAATGACCTGTACTTAGCTTCCATTCACTGCATCACTATACAGGTTTGCAACAGCATTCCATGGTGACAGGAAACAACCCCAAAACACGTCAATCTCAGTGACAAAAAATTAAAATCCTCCAGAAATGTACAGTGTTGTATAGAGTACTGATATCTCTGGGTCAACTAAAATTATAGGTACCTCTCCAAAATT